CACCGCCGGGGCGAGGGAGGCTGGGGAGACCCGGCCCTCACCTTCCTGTCCCGGGTGGCCCGCCCGCCGTCCCGGATGCCGCGGGAGCCCGGGCTTCCGGCTCAGGCCGGAAGTGCACGCGGGCCGCCCCCAGAGGCCCGCCCCTCCCTGACGTCAGGGCGCCTCGGGCTGCGGCGTCGCGGGGCTGAGCGCGTCTTTGCAGGTGGCGGCCGCCCAGACGTCAGGGCGCCTCGGGCTGCAGCATCGCGGGCATTGAGCGAGTTCTTGCAGGTGGCGGCGGCCGAGACGTCCGGGATCTTTGGGCTGCAGCTTCGCGGGGCTGAGACGTCAGGGCGCCTCGGGCTGCAGCATCGCGGGCATTGAGCGAGTTCTTGCAGGTGGCGGCCGCCGAGACGTCAGGGATCCTCGGGCTGCGGCATCGCGGGGCTGAGCGCGTCCCTGCTAGTGGGGGCCGCCGAACCTAGCGGCTTGGCTCGCAGAACCGGTCACTTCGTCGCTGCCCACTGCCGCTGCGTGGCCGCTCCTCCCGACCCGGCTTCTCCGCTCTCCATCCGAGCCCGGCCCTCGAGCCTCTGCAGGTGGGCTCCGGCTGGGACCTTTCGGACCGCGGCGAGGGGAGGCGGGTCCGGCGGCGGTTCTGGGCTGTGCGGCCTGAGTCGTGCACCCCTTACTAAGCCACTGCTTTGTCCTCGCAGGCTGCTGAGCTCCGGCCGCTAACGGGGCGCGCAAGACTGAGCCTCCGCCGGGCATCTGCGCACCTTGCACGGAGCGCCATGACGCTGCGGCTCTTAGAGGACTGGTGCCGAGGGATGGACATGAACCCCCGCAAAGCGCTGCTGGTCGCCGGCATCCCCCCTACCTGCAACGAAGCCGAGATCCAGGAGGCTCTGCAGGCGGGCTTAGCGTCCCTGGGCCCGCACCGCCTCCTCGGGAGGATGTTCCGGAGGGACGAGAACAGGGTTGTGGCCCTGATAGGACTGACACAGGAGACTAGTCTTGCTGTGGTCCCTAAGGAGATCCCGGGGAATGGGGGTGCCTGGCGAGTGATTTTTAAGCCCCCTGACCCAGATAATGAATTTTTAAGCCGATTAAATGAATTCTTAGAGGGAGAGGGCCTAACCGTGGCTGAGTTTACCAAAGCTCTTGGGTATGGGAACGACCCATTTGACCTAGAGCCGAATTTAGCCCCACAGGTGGGGACCCCTATGTTGGCAGAGGCTTTAGACGAGGCTCTTCAGCCTGCCCTGCAGTACCTAAAATACAGAAAGCTGAAAGTCTTCTCCGGCAACAATCCTCCTGAACCTGGAGAAGAAGGCTTCGATTCCTGGCTGTTGCATACCACTCATATGATGAAGGCCTGGCAGGTGTCAGATGCTGAGAAAAGGAGGCGCTTGCTGGAGTGCCTGCGAAGCCCCGCATTTGACGTAATCCGGGTCCTCAAGATAAACAATCCTTTAATCACAGTCCCTGAATGCCTACAGGCACTTGAACAGGTGTTTGGCGTTATCGATAACCCTAGGGAGTTGCAGGTTAAATTTCTAACCACTTACCAGAACCCTAATGAAAAGTTAACAGCTTACGCGCTGAGGCTGGAGCCTTTAATACAGAAGCTGGTAGAGAGGGGAGCCTTAGAGAAAGAAGTCGTGAATCAGGCCCGCCTAGACCAGATCCTTGCTGGGGCCGAGGACAGAGCGCTTCGTAGGAGACTTGATCTACCAGCGGGCCCGGCGCCTGGCCTGCTACAGTTACTGACACTGCTGAAGGAAGACGAGACAGCTGAGGAGGAGGAAGAGGACTCTCTTGAGGATGGATCAGTGGAGACTTTGACCTGAGCGTAGGGAACCAGGAAAGGCTACCTGACAGCAGAGCTGTCCCACAGTCAAGTGAGAGACCTTACCCAGTTCCCTCCTGTGCTGACAAGTCCCTGACTTTGCACAGAGTTCAACATAAACCCAGTGTCATTTCTGTAGTGATTTAATGTCACCTACGTGTGTCATGGACTAGGAAGGATGAAAGTGTACACTGCTCTTTGTGTATTTAAAGAAAACCCCTCTGTCAGTTTATTCTGTCATATGCAGTTGTGCAGAAGTATGCATCACTTCACACGTGTTAGTCCAGGGTCATGGGCACAGTCCAGGCACCCAGGCTGACCCGAAGGTCAGTTTGGCAATAGGGGCAAATGTGACTTGTCGATGGTTTATCGAAACTAGTTTGGAGGTATCAGTTGTCTGTTACATTTATGCTGAAAATCATGCGTGGTAGTCAAAATATTCCAGTATTTTCCACATGAATAAGAGATTTTGCTAATGTTGTGCCATCAAAAAGAAGAATTGCATGCTTTCAGAGGTTATAGTTTGCAACAACCATCTCTACCCCCAGGCTTCTCATATGCCCTAAAACATGTAGATGTTCTGAACATCATTTTGGATAAATTTTACAAATGAGAGCTTATAAATTAAAGGAATGCTAATGAAATCACTTGTCTGTTTTACTCGTATCAGGGTTTCTACAGTGACTGCATGTGAACAATCCCAGAAAGCTGCAACCCGAAAGCCATGGGGGTTGCACTCTTATGGCCTCTTGTCTCTTGGTGTCATGGCGTCTTGGGTGCTTTTATAAGTTAAATTCCTGGGGGCCCTTCTGTGGAAGAATGACGTGAAGTAAGACTGTACAAATTGTTATGTGTTGTTCATAACCATAGCAGCCTTCTAAAACGATAGAACTGCCTTATGCAGATTCATAGTATGGGAGCAAATCACCAGATCCTGGTGGGTTCATACTTTCACCTTTTGGTTAGCTGAAAGCTTAACTTTTGTGTCACCAGGGTTCCTCGCACACAGAAGGGTGGTTCCATGCCGCCCGGTCATCTGTGACTCATGGTAGCTCCCCTTTGTACAGCAGAGGGAACCGTGGCCCAGCCCTGCACCACCCTCATTCTGCTGTGCTTACGTCTGCGGGCCTGGTCACTGTCAGTACAGCTCTCTCAGAGCCTTACTTTTTTTTTTTTTTAATTCTTTCTGCCTCTCTGCTTTACCAAGCATGATGTCCTGCAGGGACTGGCCGCTTCTAACATGCTCATAGTATGTGAGTCGAAAATTTCACCATCCCTGTATCTAGCGAGCACTGTGTACTTTGAAGACACTTGTTTGCTCTTTTAGCAGTCCATGATATATTTGATATTCTTCATGAACACTGTGTTTCAAAGGCATCAATTCTTTACTCATTGTCAAACTTCACGTGCACACAGCACGGCTTGGGTCCTGAGTCCTCAGAGTGTCATTTTTGCTCCAACTTACAGAGGCCCTTGGCAGATAGATCCATTGCAAAATACAACATCAGGTTTCTCGTCCGCTGCTTTCATCGCTGTTGATTGTGAATCTCAGTAAAATTAAGTCCTTGACAGCTTCAGTCTACAGAGAGTGGTTAGGCGCCATGGGGTTGTGTACGACTCACAGTGACCCTATGAACAACACATCTGAACCTGGCTCTATCCTGGGCCAGCCTCACAACCTCTGACACCCTTGACTCCCTTGCAGCAGTCAGTCCATCTGGTTGAGGTCTTCCCTTCCCTCGCCATCCTCCCAGCTTCCTGAGCGTGATGTCCTCTAAGGAGTTGCCTCTTAAGTAGTACAGGTCATGTGCTGCAGAAGCAAATGTGATGACAAGAAGGAAGAAAAGGATGAATTTTTTTTTTTATCTTTTCTCAATCTTAAAAGTACTGTAGCAAAATTTGGCTTCATAATTGTGAAATAAGTTTCCCAAGGCTAAACAGCTACAAGAAGCAAGGTCAGAATTCTGCTCTCTTTTATTGCAAGGCCCATTTTCCTTCCATGCCCACGGAAGATGAAGGAGCAATTGTGAAGGTGTATCTAGCCCAGCAATCTCCACCGGGAAGCAGGGTAACAGTTAACCCAAGGCTGCTGTTGTCTGGTTGATTGCTACCCCTTGTATGCCGTTGAGTCAGAACCGACCCAGAGGGATGTCATCTCACAGGAGGAGATTGCACATCCTTCTGTGGAGCATCCGGTGGATTTGAACTGTGTGCCTTTGGGGTTGCAGCAGTTTCTTACCACTAGGCCAGCAGAGCTCCCCATTACATGTTAAGAGTTGTGCACCATCGAGTTGTAACTGACCTATAGCTGACCCTCCAGCAGGTTTTCAGGGGCAGTAATCACATGGAAGGAGATTGCGGAGCAGCTGGTGCATTTGAACCTCATGCCTTTGGGATTGCAGCACAGATTCTCACCACTAGGCCACTGCACAGTAAGATTCCCAAGGTTGTTCAAATCTTGACTAGAGCAGCTGGTAGATTATAAAACCGAGGGACCTGACACATTAACTCCAAGCCTCCTTTTGGTGTTAACCACCTTCCATAAATGCAAATCTTGTATCTGTTGGTGTGAGATGTGACCTTGTGCTATAAACTCAAGCTCACTTGTCATTGCCTCTGTTCTGACTCCTGGTCATAGCGCCCCCAACTGTTATGCAGTAGAACTGTTCCAAAGGTTTTTCTTGACTGTACTCTTCACAGCAGGTGAGCTCCATGGAGACCTAGCTGCTTGTTCTTTTGGCTGTCCACGGGATAGTCAATACTCCTCTCCAACACCACAGTTCAAAGGTAGTAATTCCAGCTCTCAGCAGCAAAGCAAGTGCTTGCAAAGACCATGGTCTGAATCAGGTGCACCTTAATCCTTAAACTGACATCATTGCTCCTAAGTAATTTGGAGAGATCCCTGACTACAGACTTTCCCAGAGCAATATGTCTCCTGATCTCCTGACTACTGGTACTGATTGTGGATCTAAGTAAGATGACAGTTTCAATCTTTTATCCATCTATCACAATGTCTCATCTCGGTCCAATCCAATTATAAGAATTTTGGTTTCCTTGATGTGGAGATGCAATCCCAATTGAAAGTTGCAGTGTTTGAGCTTCTGCAGCAAATCCTCCTCACTTTCAACAAGCAAGGTTGTGTCATCTGCATACTAAATGTTATTTATTGATGAGTCGTCTTCCAGTGCTGATACCATACTCTTCTTAGAGTCCAGTTTCTCGTGTAATTTGCTCAGCATACAGATTGAATAGGTATGGAGAAAGGATATAACCCTGATACATACTTTATTAATTTTAAACCATGTAATGTTCCCACAACAGCCTCTTGGTCTAGGTCTAGGTTTTGCATGAGCAAAATTAAGTGTTATGGGATCCCCACGCTTCTCAATCTTAACCATAATTTGTTATGATCTACACAGTCAAATTATGTGTGTTATGCTGAAGTGTTGGGGGTTTTAAAAGAAATAAAATTTTATTGCACTGTTAGTGCAATTTTAAGAGTAATTTAACTTTAGTTCTCTAAGTTTTATTTTTTTAATATGAAAAAATATTCAAAGGAAACACTCAGAAAACAGGCAACTCTGTTGGCCTAGTGGGTCAGGAGTTGCACTTCCAATTGAAAGGTACATGATTCGAATCCACCAGTCGCTCCATAGAAGGATGGACAGTCTCCTTCAATGTGATTTACTGCCCTGAAAACCTGCTAGAGAGTCAGCTGTGAGTCAGCTTGGACTCCAAGGGACACAACAACACTCAGGAAACAAAAAGAGGGGACATATCGAGGGGACACACAGAAGCTAGCCTTTAGAGGGTCTACAATGGCCAAAGGTGTGGGTTTTAGGAACAAAACAGTATTGGGATATAACCCAAAATCTCCATGAATAGATGCTGATATAAACAACTAATTGAATAAACAAATGTGCATGAAGTCTTCCCTACAGAATAATTCTAAACCACGCATGTAACCCATCCCCTACAGGAAGTGGAGACTTATCTCCTCCTCCTTTTTCTTTTAAATTTTACTATATTTTTTAAAAAGATTTACTATATTTTTGTGTGTATACCAGCAAATCAGATCTGACTGGTACAGGAAGAAATTGCCCCTCTTTCACCGGCAGAGCATCTGGTGGATTCGAACCGCACACCCCTGGGGTTGCAGTACAGCTTCTTGCCACTAGGCCACCAGAGCTCCCTATCTCCTTTCTTGAATGTAGGCTGTACTTGATTTGTTTCCAAAGAACAAAGTGTGAAAAGGGGAAATAGAAACTTTTCAGTGCAGAAACTTTGCAAGTGTTTCCTTGGTTAAGGAATCAAGGTTAGCATCAGTATTGTACTGGTGTTGGGTCCTGTCAAGTTGGGTCCAGCTCACAGCAACCCTGTGCACAGTAGAACAAAAACTACCCAGGTCTACATCATCACCTGCACAATCTGTGCACTCTGTGCCTAAGCCCCTGTTACAGCCAGGGGATCAATGCAGTCCCATTGAGACTCTCCCTCTTTCTCACGGTCTCACTGCCGTCCCAAAGGCAGGGGAGGTGGTTCAAATCCACCAGCTGTTCCCTCGGAGGAAAATGGGAATCTCCTCCTGTACAGTTTATTATTTTTTTTTAATTATTATTATTAATTCTAAAGAAAATTTAGATATTTTGGATTTCCATTCATTCACTGTTGCACTTTTCTCCCTGCCCACCTCTCCCCTCCAGTTTGTTCTTTTTTGAAAAGTAAAAGAAAAATTCTTTCATTGTTATACAATCCGTCCCCCCAGGTCCACTCCACTATGCAGCCCTCGTTCTGGACTCCTGTCATGACAAAAATACCTAATCGTATATACCCTTTAAACAGTTCTCTCTCTCTCTCTCTCATCTGTTTCAATACAGTATATATAATTTATCCCATCTTTCTCAGTTTCCCCTCCAACCCCAATGTCAGTCCCGTTTTACAATAGTGGCACTATGAAGTATTTGTCCTTTTGTGACTGCTGTGCTGTTAATTATTGCTGTG